GGGGGGGGGGGGGGGGGGGGGGGGGGGGGGGGGGGGGGGGGGGGGGGGGGGGGGGGGGGGGGGGGGGGGGGGGGGGAGACTTGCAAAATATCGCGATTTTTCCTTTGAAAAATAATCCTTGGGATTACGTATGCATGGCCGCGAGACCGGTGTTCATTTCTGAAACTATTGCAACTTGATAAAAACGCTTTTAGGTAAAGAGACAAGTAGGTAAAAAGAGTTGTAGGTGAATACCCGAGGGTTAAAGAGTATTGGGTGAAAACGTGTGTGAATAGTCCCTTCACCGAAAATAAAAACACATTGGATCTAGACTGCCGTGCTGAGGAAGAACGCCGTATAAACATTCGAGCGTTGCCAAGTTTCCTTCGATAAAATGTTTATTTTTGAGGAAAGTTATGAATATTTTTCCTTGAAATTTTCAGACCCCTTAGATCAAATTACAAACAAAATTATCTAAAAAATGGGCAAAAAAATATTCTAAAATTGTCCTGAAAATTAGTGATTTGCCAGAGGAAATTTGGCAACGCCTGAAGGCTCATGCGGCGTTTTTCCTTAGCACGGCAGTAGAGTCCAGACTCTTGGAAACATTGACAAGAAAAAGGGGTCTTGATTCAATCAGATTTGAGCTTAAATCAAAAAGAAAATCCGCTCAAATTAAGAGGCTTGGTTCTTGATTTGAGCTTAAATCTGATTGAATCAAGAGTATTTTTTCTTGTCAATGTTTTTAAGAGTCTAGACTCTAGATCCAATGTGTTTTTTTTTCCAGTGTTGGGCGGAAAAACTATGGGCGAGTAGTCGTGGCACCGAAATTTCGCACCAGCGCGCAGTGTCTGGCGAATTTCCCCGCGAGTGACTTGTGGGTGGCAATGAGTAATTGATATAATTTCGGTCTCGACGCGACGACGCGACGACGCACCAGGACACCAGTAGCGGAGTGGCTTGCTTTGCGATTTATCGATCGATCCGCCAATTAAACTTGTGGCAAAGGATCGATAAACGGGGTGTTCGCGACGAACACCTTAATAATCGATTCTTCACAGTAGCCTCAAATGGAGAAATATCGATAATCGATCATTTGCGCCTCGCCATTGGACACCAGCGTTTGTGCCACTAGAATTAAGTGAAAAAATTGGGCTCGTTTACAATCAAATTATTGCATGGAGATGAATTCAGAGGGAACTTTTTTTTTTTTTTTGATTGAGGCTACTTTCATTCCTTCAATTTTATTCTTCTTTCTCCCTGCTCTTATTTTTCCTTCCTTGTTTTGTATTCACACCTTCCCCCTTTCTTCTCTTTGCTCTCTCCCTCCCATCATCCTCTCTCTTGACGCATTAAATTATTTAAGACTAATTTTAAGCTAACCCTATGAAATAGTGCACATAATCCCTCTAAAGATATTCATAATCTCTTTGAGGAAGTACGCCCTTGTGTTAAGGAAGTACGCCGTACCTATGAACATTCGAGAGTTGCCAAATCTCCCCAAATAAAACATGTATTTTTAAAGAAAATTGTGCATATTATCCCTTGAGATTTTCAGGTAAGTATATTAGATTAAAGTGGTTACGTGATAACGGCTGGGGTCAGGTCACCACTCAAGTTTTTACTTGTTTTTATGTGTTTTTGCAGCTGGAAATGAGCTAGTAACAGCTCGAAACGCCCTGCCTTTTGGTGTTTTTGATGTTTTAGCCTTTGTTTACCCATATTTTAATTCTCTCCCTCTTTATTAGATTAAATTGGGCACAAAATTGTCTAAAAAATTGGAGGAAGAGTATTTAGAATTCTCCTAGAAAATTCGGTTTTTATAGTAGGAAATGCGGCAACGCCTGAATGCTCAAACGGCGTTTTTCCTTAGCACTTGCGGCAATACAGTGGAATCGGCTTTAAAATGGCTTGCGAGAGTGCGTGATAGGTCCGACGGGGTGCAGCTAGCGAGCCGATTGTTGAAATTGATAGACAAAGAAGACGAAAAGAATATGGAGGGATCTTATTGGTGAGAGCGAGTGGTTGCAATTGACAGAGGACGCAAGTAATAGACAAACTAACGGCAACCCACAAGAGACCCAATAGTTAGTCCATCATTTACCCCCACAGTCTATAAGAACCACCCATTTCAACCGATAGGATCGATCTATTCCATACTCCTTATGTCTTCTTTGTCTATCGTTTTGTCTATCAACTTCAGCAATCAGCCCGCAAGACGCCTATCTCCACTTGTAATCACTATAAGGATACTGTTGCAATCGACAAAATGATTCTCCTACATAGGCGTAGCCAGGTCATTTTGATGGGGGGCCTGGTCTCCCACCAACGGGGGGGGGGGGGNTCTGGGGGGTATGGAGTACCCCCCAGCTTAGTGGGGGGTCCGGGAAAATTTTTCTGAAATTTTAACTCTATTTGAGCGCATCTCGAGGCACTTGTGGCGCTAATCTTCCTTCAATTTCTGCCTAAAAATCACCCAGTTTTATGCGCATTTTAAGGTTAAAATATACTTTGAAATTGTTGCATTCAACAGGTTTTTCTATTTATAGGCAATATAGGCATGCTCTCAGGGGCCACGGCACACGGAGAAAAAAAACTCGTGCGTGGGACCCGAAGTTTAGGTCATATGGATCTCTGAAGTTTTCAGATTGAGCATCTGAACACTTTAGGTCTAGCTGCCGAAGTTCGGATCATACATCTGAAACTTCAGTTCTTACATCTGAAGTACTTCGGTTCTCACATCCGAAGTACTTCGGTTCTTACATCTGAAGTACTTCAGATGTAAGAACTGAAGTTTCAGACGTATGATCCGAACTTCGGCAGCTAGACCTAAAGTGTTCAGATGCTCAATCTGAAAACTTCAGAAATCCATATGAACTAAACTTCGGGTCCCACGCACGAGTTTTTTTCTCCGTGCAACCGAGGCTTACCGTTGAAGAAGGTGTTTTTGCACCATCCAGAATTTCTGGGGGGGGGGGCTAGATGATACTATTTCCAATTCTGGGGGGCAGGCCCCCTGACCCCCCCCCTTCATACGCCTCTGTTCTCCTAGAAAAGAATATCCCAGGTCGGTGTGACGAAGAATCTTCCTCGTTCGGCTATTATGGAGCAGAGGCAATTTTCCAGCCCATTGCTTCATTCATACCTATCAGTCCCAGTTTTCACTTTTCTCGTCTTAATTTCGATTTTCTTGGTCGCGATTTCTTCTCCATTATCTGGAATCTGCGGTTGCTGTCCGCTTCCTTGCACCTCTGATGGCATCTTTATTCTTTACCA